ATTTATATTTATATATTTATATATTTATATTATATGTTTATATATATATACATATTTATATATTTATATTATACTTCACGTGTAAATTTTTACACGTAAATTTGAAATGAAATTTCAATTTCTAATTTTATACAGAATGCTGTACCTGCATCACGTATATGACATATCCTCGTTTACTCCTCTAACTAATTTTAAAATATTCTGAAAAAAAAAACGCCTCGTATAGTTTGTAACTAAAAGAGTCTAAAACTCATTATTATTAATTGTTAAATAATAAAAAGTTCAAATGCGCACGCATCAAGATATTTTCAAAAACGTTAACACGCGTCTTAAGTTTTCAAAATTTTCTAATCATTTTAAAAAGTAAAGAGTACATATATTTTTATTCTTAAAATTTTTTTTTACACACATAGGACTTAATCATGTTCCTTGTTTAAATCGCGCAAGAGATTTTTTTTTGGTTCTTTTCTTAATTCAAACTTAAATTCAAAAACACTCATATTTTCAAATTTTCTTGGAATTTTCTTTGTTCTAAATTTTTGTCTAAAAAAACAATTTGAACAACTTAAATACGAGAAGAGAAAGTAGAGAAATTTAAAAGTAAATTCTAGGAAATAATAAAAATGGTATCATAGAAGTCTTACGCAGGATGTTTGTTGCGTAATAAATATAAATAAATATATATATATACATATTTATATATTTATATTATACTTCACGTGTAAATTTTTACACGTAAACTTGAAATGAAATTTCAATTTATCTCTTTAACTAATTTTAAAATATTGCGAAAAAAACGCCTCGCATAGTTTGTAACTAAAAGAGTCTAAAACTCACTATTATTAGTTGTTAAATAATAAAAAGTTCAAATGCGCACGCATCAAGATATTTTCAAAAAACCTTTAACACGTCTTAAGTTTTCAAAATTGTCTAATCATTTTAAAAAGTAAAGAGTACATATATTTTTATTCGTAAAATTTTTAAATTTTTTGAACAACACTTTTGAAAATAATCGTATAAGATTGTTCAATTCACGTTTTTGGAGAGATTAGATTGGTTTTGCTTACAAATCTAATTTTGGTCGCAATATATATTTGAAAAATTTTCAGACAAATCTATGCTGTCACTGCCGTGGCGCCGATCAAACGTGCGGCACGTCGCGAAAAGCGTCGCTGGCGACGAGCAACAATTCAACGGCGCCACCCTTACCGCCTCCGCCACCACCGCCGATACCACCGTCGGCACCCCCGAATCCGCCAACCTCGCCTAACGGCGGTGGATTTATCTTACCGCCTCCGCCTCCGCCTCCGTTCTTTTCCAACGTCGTGAACGCCGATGCACCGATGGAGCCTCCGATGCCACCACCTCTGCGTGTACCTCCGGTCGCACGCATGCCCACCCCTGAACCACCGAGCAATCACGCCAGGCTGTTACCGCAACAGGAGATTCCTACACCAAGAACGAAAATGAAGACCATCAACTGGAACAAAATTCCTAACCATAAAGTATTTAAAAATAAATTTTTACGAGCAATTTTTTTCATATAAAAAGTCGCGCTTACGTTCTGTTAAGTTAAATAAAACAACAAACACATTAATATATTGCAAAATTAAGTATACTCGCACAAAGTAACAAAAAAAAAAAAAATTAAAAAACTAAGAAGAATATGTAATTAGGAATCGAGACACTCTAGAATATTTGTTTATTGTTACAGGTAATTGGTAAACGAAACATTTGGTCCCTCGTGGCAAACGAGCATCAGAATTCTCCAATGGCGGACTTGGATTGGGCCGAGATGGAAGGTCTGTTCTGTCAACAAGCGCCGCCAATGGCACCGCCGGCGAATTGTTCTTCCTCGTACGGTATTGGAACCGACGTCGAGCGACGCCGTCGAGAACCGACAGAGGTTGTTCTTAAATTTACATTTGTGTTATATTTTGTTTTTGCGTGTAACAAAGTAAAATATATTATATATATTTAAATATATTATATATATTATATATATATTATATATATATATAT